TGTAATGTGTGGGAAATGCATTTCTGAAGGAAAAATGATGACAGCGGAAAGAGCCTCTGATCAGAATCAGTGCCCCGATGCGCACTGATTTGCCCCACTGAGCAAGCACATAGCACGTTGCAGTCTTTTGGGGGATGTCTATAATCTAAACAATAGGAAAGATGAAGGTGGGTGTGAGAGAAAAAGGGCACAGAGAGATGACACGAGGCTGAACTTCACAGAACCAGTCTGCCTGAAAATGTTTCAGTGAAAAGTACCCCAGTCCAAAACAAGTTTATATGTTGAGCCTGACTTCATCAGGATACACCCAGGCCTTTGTAACCAACGCCACATGGCTCACAGTAGTGCCAAAGGGGCACATCGCACGTTGCAAAGAGAATCCTTGCAACTACTGAACACTCGATCCCAGCAATTGTCTGTAGGATTGAACCTCATATTTAAAAAAAACCCCTAAAAACAATTAAAAAAAAAAAGAATGCTGCATATGCTAAGCCCACAGAGAAGGTACCTTGATTCTGAATGTAAAACTGCATTTGGTACAAGACCTCGTCTTCCAGTGCCGCCCTCCCACCAAGCAACGCCTGCCGTGTAAACCGCACGTGTGGGCACTAATGTCTCTCATAACCAGGCTGACAATACTGGCACACACTTAGGGCAGCGCCCAGTGTATCATCCTACAATTCTCCGCAGCAATGACTATTATCAATCTGCTGTGATGTATGGAGGGAGGTTTATGACTTATTTTTCTTTGGGAAGGATTTATAGATCTGTTAGTGACTGGACAGACTTAATGCTATACTTTGGGAAAGGAAATGAAAGAGGAAGGAAAAGGGGTAATAAAGCAGACTGGAGCTATTCTGACTTAGGATAAATTCCCTCGGTCAGCTTTGGGGTTTTTATGAGTCAAAATATTCTGTTTCTTTACTGACTCCAGGGCCAGCAAAGATTTTGGTCAGTTTTGAATGTTAAAATATAAATATTGCTACTAAAAGGCTGGGAAAACTAGTTCAGATTGTACATCTTAAACCTCCTGAATATGAGAAAATCCGAAAGTCCTGCAAATTGTGCTGCTGTCAGAGTTCAGGCCTTCCTCCAGGCTGCTGTCCTTCACAGCCTCTTCTATGCCATATGCAGCACATTTTCGTCTCCCTTCATGAGAATGAGATGCTTGTTGTGAACATGCTGCTTTAAGCAGACAGCATTCTCAACACATGTTGGAAGGAGACTGAAAAATCAGTATTTCCCCTGTAGACATCCTTCTCCCTCTGTCCTTGATAAGAGACATAAGCTTTCCTTATTTTTTAAGGCAGGTTTTGCAGCCCTGAAGCCCCATCCTCCAGCTCAGGGACTTCTCATCTCAGGTGAGGCCACTCCACAGAGGCAGTTCAGCTTCTTCCTTCTTTGGAGGAAGCTTCTTCCAGCAAACGACAGGGATGGGAGCAGCCTGAACATGGGTCTCCTGTTCCTCAGCAAGTCCTGTGCGCCTGAAGACACTTCAGCACTACTGACTGCATTACGAGTTTCTGAGTCAGCAAAGGAAAACAGGAGGAAAAGGCACTTTGCCAAAGTGGTGGTATCTGAAACCAAGGTGCCTTAGGAGACTCGAAAAGCACGCTTTTCAGACCTATCGTCACAGCTGCTGCTTGCCAGCGGGGAGCATGGCAACGTTTAACCTTCCACCAAAACCTGACCTGCGTTTCCTTGCACCGTGTCCCTTCCCTGCCACTGCCCAACCCAGATTCCAACTGGATCCTGCGCAGGACCTTGAGGACAGGAGGAGAAATCCTGTTCCCTTTCTCCTCTTCTCTAGCTCCACACTTGCATTTCGCCACTCAAAGTAGGCATCCCATGCGCCCACGTGTTTTGGACAGATCTTTTCATTTATTATCCAGCAGCAAAGCTGTGGAAGTGGAACCAAATCAGAGAGAAGGGATGAAGTCATGGCTTTATAGCGCTGAAATCTTCATTAACTTTAAACATCTTGAGCAATTTTGAATAAACAGTGCTGCACAACATCAACCTCTGAGAAATAATACACTTTTTCTTGCTCATCCTACACTATGAACCTTCCCTATGGCCCCTGCCCAGCCCTTGTGCCCAAGCCACAGCACGGTTTGCACGTAGCTGCCTCTGAGTCCAACGTGTACTCTGTGCAGATTATGTCGCTGCAGAAAGCGCATTGTCTCATGTAGGTAAAACCCACATAATATCCCGTGTACATTTTGTCACAAAGATAAGAGAGTGCAATCGCTAAATGTGCAGATCCATTTTCTGTTGGAAGCAAATCTACAAAATATCTAATGCCAACACGCGACTCCAGTGAATAGAAAGCACAGGAAATCTGACTCAACCCCATAATACCACATAACAAAAAATTAGATGAATGGAAATTTAGCATCTCCCTCACATTGACTGCAAAATGTTAAGGATACTCAGGCCATTCTCCCATAGTGCCAGCGGCAAACCCTGCACTGTACTCTGGGCACGGTCAGAATAAAGACCCTTCTGTAGAACCGGGTATTCTTTGATGGAGAGAACTACTCATGAGCCCTTCTACTTGAGCCAGTAGAAAACATCATTTTTTCAAGCCGTACTGTTGATAAGGACAGTCATGAATGAAAACCAGTGTAGTGCAAAGCAGTTTATCTGCCAGCCCCTCCGGAGGAAGCATGCCGCTTGTTGCCTGACTCGCAGCCTCCCCAGGGCACGCGGGGACAGCCGAGGAGGAAAAAACAGAGTCCGTCTCTGCCCCAAGGACACTGCAGTCACCTCACCAAAGCTTCGGAGAGAACACGATTTTCCTGCCCACTGGGCACTGCTTTGTTCACTTACCATCGGAGACCTACTCAGCAAACGCACAAGACCTCATTCTCCAGCAGGCTTTTATCCCAGAGGCAAGTGATTTACTGGGAAGTATATCCTTCCTGCTGGGTAACTGCCACACCAGTTCAATCACTACCTGATTTTCAAAGCTTTTTTCTGTTTTCCTCAGCCCTCAATTTCCTCGTTAGCTCAAAGAAAACACCGGCTGTGTTTGTCAGCTTGTTTCAAACAGGCAGGAGAAAGGAAAAACAGAAAGCCATAAACTGCAGTACGTTGCTCTGCTGGATTAATAACGCACTAAACAAAATGGCAACCATTTTTTTCAGGGAACATTCCTGGCAATTAAAAGACAATTTTAAAATGCTGCAGTTATTCGCCATAATTCCTGTTCTCAAAGACCTCAGCAGAAACCGCTACTTCTGCATATCGCTGCTGAAATCCACATAGCCTCATAGCATATTTGAAGCACATTCAGATTTCTGAGCAGCCAAAACCATTGCTGGCTACAGACCTTCAGAAACAACCATTTTCAGCAGGCCCTTCATAAACCCCTTTTGCTAATGAACGTATAAGAGAAAAAGGTCCTGGGCTGTAGCACCTCCAAGTCTTGAAGGCCACACATATAAAGACCACCACTATTTAAAATCTGGAAGATTCAGTGGACTCTACTAGAAAATCATGAGTACAAAGTAACTCCAGACTTTTGGAAATTACTGGGGGAGGAGGCGGGGGGGAGAGAAGAAAATCTGTCCTTCTCTCTGAACTGCAACTCTTTTGTACATCAGGTTTTTCTTGAATTTGTACCTTGGTAACATCAAGCCCATAAGCTCTTGCCATTCAGCCTGCCCATGCCAACCAAGATAGAAGCGCTAGGCTTAGGACACCCTGAGACAAAGACTGGTCAGAACCTCCGCTGCTGTAAACTGAAGTCGCTCCATTAATGACCTATTAATTTCAAGTGAGGACGAGAGCACATGAAAGCACCTGGTGGGTGGATGCTGTTGATTTAGTTTCAGCAAATATTTGATGGCATGATTAGGTAACGTGGGTTTGTTCAATGGGTTTTAATTACATTGTGGTTGAAGGATTCCCTATTCTACTACATGCTATGGAAGGGAGGAGACAAACAGTATTAGACTGAGTG